TGCTTGCTTTAATATGACAATTCGAAAGGCACGTCTTACATGTAAACAGCGTCGTTCGTGGTGTTGTAGAGAGAAATTGATGGTTGTTTGTTATCATGAGCATGGCCATTCTATAAAGAAAACGGCAGCGAAATTTAACATTCAAAGACGTGATTGGAAGGCTAAAAAAGATTTGTTAATGCGAGCATCACCGCACATTCTCAAGCTTCATATGGGCCGTAAAGCGAAGTATCCTGAACTGGAAAAGGAACTGGCTGAATGGATACTAGAGAATCGACGAAAGAGTAACGTGATAACGAGATATATGATTATAATTAAAGCGAAAGACCTTGCGAAAAGATTATCCTACCAGATGTTGTATTCAGACCTAGACTCGTTTCAATTCTCACTAAAATGGTTAGAGGGATTTATGCGTCATAATTTTCTAATCGGCGACAAACATCGGTTGCTCAGCATTTACCCGATGATCTAATACCTAAACAGTTGGAATTCCTTAGTTATGTTCTATATAAACGTCGTGAATATAATTACCCATTAAGTCTTATTGGTAATATGGACGAGACACCCCTCTCTTTTGATCTTCCGAATCCAACTACAGTAACTCAGCATGGTTCTAAGTCAGTAACAATCAGGACAACAGGACATGAGAGAACTTGTTTTACCGTTATTTTAGCATGTATGGCAGATGGGTCTAAACTACCTCCGATGTGCATTTTTAAACTCAAAAACAAGCCACGCGATCTATTTCCAGATGATATTCACGTACGAGTTAACGAAAAAGGCTGGTGTAATGAGAACGAAATGAAATATTGGATCGAAAATGTGTGGTCGGTGAGACAGACAAGCGCTCCACGCTCTCTTTTAATTCTAGATTCATCCCGTGGTCATCTTATCAATACGGTGAAAAGCGCGTTTGAGAAACAGAATACTGATATGGCAGTTATTCCTGGTGGATTAACGAGCAAGTTGCAACCACTCGATGTGGCGGTTAATAAAAGTTTCAAACATAAAGTGGGCTAACATTTATATTCTGTTTCACCATTATTGATACATAATAACAAAAAATTTTTTATTCTTAAGGTACGACGGCTTTATAATGATTGGATGGCACGAGAAATTCACCAGTTGGCTCCAGCAGGTCGAATCAAGAGACCGTCGTATGCAACAGTTACTGACTGGGTGAAAAAGGCGTGGGATGAAATCGATGGTGAACTTATTAGAGGCGCATTCAAATGTTGTGGTATTTCTGTTAAGGAGGATGGAACGGAGGATGAGTTGATATTTGATAGTGAGAGATTGGATGACATTAGCGTTGATCAAACCGACAAGGAGAATGATATTTTCGTAGATATTGAAGGTGATAATTATGAAGAAACGGATGGTTTTAGGAATATATGGTAATATAATAATAAAAAACGCTGTACCATGGTACTTTACAAGTATTTTGTGTAACAAACCGATCATAGTACCATGGTCTTTTACATTCCATGAGCTTCAAAATGGTGGGGTGGTACTATGCAAGGGGGGTACTTTAGTCCGAGAAATACGGTATTTCCTGCACTTAGAGAGACAATGCACTTAGGGATCATGCACTTAGGGAGAGTCCACTGTACAACTTCGAACAATATATATATATATATATTAACTTCCTTATGGAGACGTCTTCTGACAGTCTCTCATATCGCAGACCAATTTCTGTAATATTCACCATACTAATAATAAAATTAGGTAATAATATACAAGTTTCAGTAGAGTGTAGACTTACCTAAAATTATTTGTTAATGTGTTTGTAGAAGTGGAATGAACCCTTACAACGTTGTCACATTTCGGTAATTGATAAAGACGTAGACTCTTGCGTAATTATAATGATCAACGGTACTAATACAATCATTGGTCGAGTTTAAATCAAGAAAAGAACATGAAAAGTCAAATATAAACGGATAATAAATATATAAAAGCTATAAAACAAGAGTTATATCCAACACATTAAAGGGCTCTTATTCATGGGATTTTGGTTGTGGCTTAAAAACAATGCAAATTATCTACAAATTGTCACGTAACAACTGTCCGCGTTATTTCTGTTTATTACATAATCACGAACTGCATAATTCATATGATGTTCGAACTAGGGGTTAGCTAGTTCACAACATTACAGGCCTATTCACGATCGCCGTTTTTTCATATGGGGGGGGCTCTTATTCACGGTAGGCCCTTATTTACGAGAGTATACTTTTCAAGATAACAATGCCCCTGTGTAGAAAATATTGTCAAGTGGATTAGGAGAAGAAAATAAGAATTCTATCTGATTGGCCGTCTCAGTTTCCTGACCTTAATTCGATTGAACATGTACATGTTTAAAATGCTTGAAAGATGTCTGAAAAACTGTAAACAACATCCCAAAAATGCCAAAGATTTGGAAATTGCTCTGAAAGAGGAATAGTCACTAATACTAAACCCTTATAAACATATTCCAATTTAATGGAGAGCATGCGAAGAAGACTTGAAGCATGTATTTCTAATAATGGATGGCCAACCCAATACCAAAATAAAAATTAAAAACTTAAAATTAAAGTTCAGCCAAATTTGATTTTACTTTTTTGTAATTATTTATTGTCCCCGAAAGCTGAATGTGTTTCAAAATTTACATGCAAATTCTTGAAAACCTAAGCTGCAAATTTCTTCTATTGTCGTTACATTAAAATTTTGCGTTAAGTAAAAAAACTCTGTCCGGGATGCTTTTTTCCAGGGAGTGTATATACTTTGAAATGATACATTTATTCCCTGGTATATTAGTTGGTATAGATAAGAAACCATTAATCCATTACTATGTCAATTTAGAGTGATCGTTTCTTGTTCCATGATTACTCGTGCGTTATTACGGGACGCGTTTGATATAATTGATGATCGTACCCTGATTTATAGACTACCGATTTAATTCCGGTAAAGAAACTATATTTATCTAAGATTAACGTCTACCGAGCGATGTTGAGTTGTGAGCAGTAAAAGCCTGAGTTAAATAGTTAACCGACGGTCAATTTCTCCCTTGACACCAGAGATTTCAGTCTTTTGTCTTGTAATAATAATAAACATTCTCATTCTGCATTCTTTCTTAATGTCTATTGTTTTTCATTTTTGGTAAATTTTGTAAGTAATTTTTCCTTATCTAGATATTCCTGGAGAATTTTGGTACCATTTATTTTAGATGTAAGGTGCAATTTTTTAAAGTACTTCTTATAGTACTGTAATTCTTTGGATTTGATGAAAATTAATTTCATATTTAGATTTTTTTTCATATAGACATAATAATAATTCTATTCTGGTTGTTTTATACTTTACATAAGAGTTTATTTCAACCAGATTTAAGATTGACTACATTTTCTGATGTAATAAAAATTAGTCCATGGATTCAGGACAAGCCACAGCTATGTCACTCAATGTTCACTTTTGTCTGGTTTTGTTGCAGTCTGCCCTATTTCTGAACATGCACAATCACTAGATTGTGTAAAATTACTATTTGATGAGCTGCAACAAGATGAAATCAACGACGAAAACAGTTAGGGAAAGATGGAATTGGTCCATGCAAGAACAATGGAGGGAAATTATTAAGGTTTGAACTTACTAAATTTGGGGAAACATAAGCTATTGGTTCGGAGTCTTTCTCCAGCAAGGGATTGGTGACCCCAACAGTGACAACAAATTATGTCAATAGGTAACAATTTTTTTCCCACAACCGGTCCTTACGTGTTTCAGCACACCAAAAACTGAGCCAATTTATTTAGCAATAGATGGCAATATGTAAAAGAGGAGCAACAGCTGAACGTTAACAGATTATCTAATGTTGGTTCAACGGTTTAATAAGCAAACAAAATCAGAAATATCGGATTATTAAGGATTGCGAGAGTCCAGTGTGAACCAATAAAGAGAAGGATTCAAATTATCCTTTTCCATGGGGGGAAGGAAAATTGGGGAAGTTCACTCTTAGACTAGGTGTATAACTAGAATGTGTGTTACCATCTGGGCATAGACTAGTGAGATTTTATATTGCTACGATTGCCCATATTAAGTGGTAACTGATCAAAACTAATAACACTCGATAATTCGTAACAGCGTGGGAAGTCAATAATAGATGAAATTCCGGTAACAGGCAAGATTATCAAACAATGATCTTCCGACTGTGTAAGAGTTACAAAGCATGTGGAACAGCTCCGGTTCATTCACTGCAGAATGTTTTCTTTGGTAAAAACTTTTGTTGTTGCCGTTATCGCTGTCGCTGTTGTTGATGTTGCTATTATTATTATTATTATTATATTATTAGTATTAGTATTAGTATTAGTTGTTATTATTATTATTATTATTTGTTGTTGTTGTTGTTATTATTATTATTATTATTGATTCTTTACCTAATTAACTAACCTATTAGTACAATATTAATAATACCCAACACATTTTCGGTGTTAGGCAATAATGATGCACCAATTAAAAGCAACGACAATTGATACGAATTCACATCATCATTGCACAATAATTAATACTAATAAATTTATTTAATAATGCTGCATAGGTTTAATAAGCTCAAAAATTTTCATAGGCCATGCTTTCGGATTCCCACGAGAAAAAAAACCCAACGCCCAGATCAAAGGAACATGGAGAAACAAAATAACAGAATGGATTTCATATTAATATATAATTTCTTATCTTCATACAATAATACGGAAGGTACACATTTCTTTCATTAAATTACAATAAAATACCCTATATTTGTTATACCATAAGCATTCAATAATATTCTACAATAAATTGGGAACGATAAACGCTATTGTTTCTGTGCATAAAACCTGTTCATCCTTACTGAAGATCGGTTAGTCTCCCATTCAACTAGATACTTTTTTGCCAACTCTTCCAGTTCCTCCGGCTCGGAAGTAATTGACATGGCAAATTGTTTAGCATAATCAACAAAGATTTCGTTTGCAGTTGCGTTGCTCATGTCTCCAAATTTACCTGCCCACGATCCAAGTGGCCAGTCACGAGTTTCATGTTGGATGTGTGATAGTTTACCAGTCTCTTTTAGAAATATTTCAACTGAACCTGCTATGTATGGGTCCCGGTTTTTTGAACGGACTTTCTGTGTGACTGATTGGTTTGCGCAAACGTGAAGAGAATGTTGTATATGCATTAGCATCTGGAAACAATAAACATTTGAATTCGATCCGCAGTATCCGATATTAAATTATACACTTGCTTGATTTCATAACTTCCGTCGTTGCGGGACCGGGATTCTGTAATCCACAATCGATTTCCATTATCTCAATCCATCCACCCGGCTTGAGCATTCTCACGCATTCTTTCACCACTTCTGCATATTCTTCGCTCGAGACTTGTAGCATAAGAAAAGACTGTTTACAGCGGGGGGAGGGAGCAGGTGACTTTTAGCAGATCCGTGATGAATATCGTGAAAATACAAGACTGTGTTCGCTGATCTTGATTAGTACGATAGCCAGTGTGCTTACCATTGTGACAAAACTAAACGTACTGGATTCAAAGGGTAACCTTGTCAGCGACCTTGTCTGTTTAAATTCGACATTAAAATGAGATTGTTCAAAGAGATTTTCGGGCAATATATCGACTCCTACGAAATGCGCCTCTGGATACTCGAATGCGGTGTCATTAATCCAAGTACCAGGCCGACAGCTGTTTATAAATTTCAAGGAAATCATGGGCAGGACGGGGCATAAGTAATCAATCTTGTTGTTGTTCCATGTGTGTTTTGTTTTTTTTTTCTTTTTTGAATTCGTTCTATAAACATTCACTCTTTTAACGCAAAGTGTCTTACCCAACATTTAATATTCTAGGACAACCACTGCGTAATGCGTCGTGGCAAGGAGAAGAAAAGTTTCCCTGCCATACTGTTTTGACGATAAGATGTTGTAGTCGTAGTCTATCTAATTCGGCTGGTGAGGGTCTGTGCAGTTGAGACAGTGTATCAATATCTTGACTAGGGCTCAGAGTGTGCCTCCTACGTCGCTTTGATGAAATTACCGATGCAATGTTACCCATGAGTTAAATGAAGGTGTGAAAAACAAGTCTATTATAGTTGACAGCAAGGGCATATCATGATAGCCGAAGAAAGGAAAGATAAGTGAGTGTACAAAACAAAGGCAAGAATTTTAATCTTACTACATAATTGTACATGTGCTAAGATGCCGATCATTGCCGATCATGTAGGCGTGAATTATTATAAATTGTGAGTATTACAAGTTCGAATATTCAGCCGGTTATTTAAGGGTCATTACTATTACCATTACCATTACTACGCACAAGTAGTACAAAGTTGTTTATCTTTTACATATCGTGATGTTAATACGGTCGCTCCAAAGAGTAATTACACTCCACATGCATAGCATAAAGGCAGCATGAACCATTTATGTTGAATAATTCGCCAAAACAAGAGGTATTCCTGGAGGATGATCTGGCATGCTCGCGGAGAGAATTGTTACAAATATCTCGAAAAATTAGTTCGGGCCTGCCGTAAAGCCTGAGATAACACAAGAACCCCAATTTCTCAGTGGAGATTGCCATTGGGGAAACACCAGTCCGTTCGGTAGATAAAGGATCTACCCGATGCTAAATCTGATAACGTAAATAATAATAACGACAGCATATGTGAATGGAACAAAATAGATCAAAGTTTATCGTACGAATACTAATGCATTCTAATTTAATTGCTTGCAAACGTTTCAACGTTCAATTATAAGAAGTTTTCTCCTAAAAAGAACGCGAATCTTCAAACAGTAACTCAGAACTCAAATAACCAAACAGAAACTCAAAATAGACAACCAGTTATTTGTCAGAATTGGAAACAGTAACTCTGTGCCTAATGAAGAACTCCAAACAGTAAGCTTGGATTGAAAAAACTGCGTTAACGCCAGCATCGAGTCTGACGATTTATTGTCAACCAAGTTTCCTTGAATATACAAGAATGTACCACGTTGGACTTTGTCTTTCTTTTTTTTTTTTCTTTTTTTTTCCCTTGTATCTGTGCACACGTCGTACAAAATGGAATGGTTTTTGCTACATACGTATTACCATAATAATATTAATATCGCATATGTGATAAATAGCAACGGGGACTACCCAAACAGTAATATCAGATCATTTCCATTTAAGAATCTGAATATTAATTTATTAGGGCATGCCGAGACTTGCACCAGTCATTAGCACTTACCATATGCGCTATGCGCGCATTTTCAACCACTTCTCCTTCGATATATAACATATATAACCGTGTTCGATGAAAGGAAAAGAACGTTTTTTTTACCACCAAAACCAAACAACGTTAAAACATAGCTCGTTTAACAATAAAGAACAGAAAACACTGGATAAAAATAACCCTGACGTAAAAAATATGTCTAATAGAAATTCAGAAGAAGGGTCAGATTACGATATTCGCCCAGAAGATATTTGTCCTGCTGGCGGGATACATGATTATCGTAAATACTTCATTCTGATAACTTTTTTGCGTGAATTGTTGTTCGTACGAAACCAAGTAAACTTTGTAAATTTATTGTAGAGAGAAAGTGGTTGTTTAGTGACTACATCTCGGCCTGTTATTGTTGTCCATGTTACTGTTTGAGAGAATTATGTTGTGGTTGGTTATATAGGTGAGTAAACGATATGTATATATGTTATGTATGTGAACTTAAGGAAAATTCTTTAATTACTGCCTTTTCTACTTGATACAGAAATCCTACGTCCGATGATTTTGATTGTAAGTCCTCCATAGATTTTCTCGTTCATTTATTAGATACGTTCTGTAATCGCGATAATACAATTCATGTTTTCCCCCAACTCTTGCGAATAAAGGCATCGGATGCAGGCCTACGGTACACTTTTCCATATTTTCTTAGCTTTCCGATTCTTGATTCTTGATTCTGTTCCCTTCCTGGAACTCTATCTCTGATATCCTTTTTATTATAGGGCGAAAAGCGGTGCTTGAAATGCAAGCAAACAGAGAACCAAGCCAAGATGTCGGTTGCTTTGGAGAATTACGAACAACCGTCATCAACAAATACACAAGATACTAATCCGTCAAACGTTCCTTCTATGCCACAGCCGCCTGCTTACGCGCAGACGAGGGAAGAGAAGCGGAAATAACAAGAATTTGAGTTAAATAATCTAGACGTGCGGGGGGACGAACAATAAGTGAGGGTAGGAGGAGGTTAGCGAAAGCGATGTTAGAGAGCAAGAGCATGAGAGAAGGGGCGACACGGAGAATTTGGAAAAAGTACTGGTTTTCTGATATGTAGGATGTATAGTGAGAATCATGCGCGTCGATTGAATAACAGAGTGCTTGCCGAGACTTGATAACATACTACATGTTTAAAAAAAGAGAGAAAAAAAGTGATATAGCGAGATGGATCCAGGAAAAAGAAAAACCCCCCACTGAGATTACAAAGAAAACTGGCGGTCGAATGATTGATCACGAGTCCTTCCACCAAAACTTGATATGTCTTGGTGCGAAAATGCATCACCGGCAATTGATGGAGCCATTAAAGCAGCAAGGCGTAAATGGTGTGAAAGCGCTTGACTCAATAAAAGATCTTGTATTGGCCATTACATTCATGAGACCAATTTCATTATATCTGAATTACATATGAAATGTCGAATTCTGAATCCTGACTCTTCGGCTCTCGATTCTGCTACCTCCATCGTACATCGCTCAATGACTTGGCATTTATTAACACTTTTGCGTTAAGCCCAACAGCAGAGTAAACAATATATAATGATATTCAACAATATAAAGAATCTGTAATAAGAAAGAAAAAACAAATTGATTGCTGTTTCGAGCAATAAACAAGTATTAATCGAGTACTGCAATCTGAGCTTACATTATCAATATCGATCGCCAGTAAAATTAACGATTACAAAAAAAAAAAAAAAAAGAATTCAAGCTAATAAAAATCTAAATAAACATGCAAATCTCAAAGTAAGATACAAATTGTACTTATATATAATACATCGAACAAAGATTTAGAAAAAAAAGGGGGGGAAAGGTATCATATTTAAGAAATAAATGTCAATGTTCGCCAAATTTCCCTTATCACAAGCAATTCTAGCTCTGCCAGATTTGTCAGGAGAAGGTAGTTATTACAATTATATTTACAGCCACCCGCTGATACGGGGAGGAAAAAGAAGAAAAGGGAAAGGTGAAGAAAAGGGAAAGTATCGCGTTAATCGATTAAAAGTCTATAATGTCTCGTATGAGAAAAATGTTCGATATGTATATACGTTTCTTGTGATATTCAAAATCCTATAATCCAATCTGACAAGCTTTGCATTCCCACATTTGCTATTTTTAACATTACATCCTCATCATCCTAGTCGTCATCGTCATCAGTTAACACGTCTGACGTTAATCTCTCACGGGCGTCGCTTGGTTCAACCTAAATATAATATAATGTTCTTAGTTTCATACGTCTCCAATTCCTCTTTCTCGTTTCGAAAAGAAAATACGTATAGCAGGGGGAAAAAAATGAAATACCAGAATATGTGGTGAAACTTCAAATGAAAACGCCAAATCATGTGCTGTTAACGTATTTTTCTGCGTTACAGCAACGGCGGCGTGGAGTTTCTTGTTCATACGAAAGTCTGCCGTGGATATTCCTAGAGACCCACCCGTTCGTACTTTCTGAATAGCATTGCCGAGAATGTTTTTTAGATGCGACTGCGAAACGTTACAAATTGTGAACCATCTCGTTAGTCAAATACTTGATTCATTTAAGGAATTCGATATCTTGTATATTTTCACAAGAGTACTCTACTTACCTCAAGAGCAAAGCGCATGAAAGGGACGCATTCATCTTGAATCGATGCAAGTCCGTTTGCTTGTGCAATGTGTATAAGCCGTCGTTTTAATGCATCCGCATCTGGAAGCGCCAACATTTCTTGACATGTCTGTGGGCGCATATCGTCGACTGGAATAAATGCAACGTGAAAAAGTTCAGCACAGATCGTCCATCAGAGCTACCATGCTATAACTGTACCGCTTAAAATGCAGTTACTGTAGTAATATCGTATCCCCATTCAGAGTGATTATGTATCGCAAAATCTTACCGTGTTTTGGAGGAATAGGGACAAAATCGGGAAGAGCAAATACAGGCAGCTTCTGCCTAATTGGCGGATGTGGAAGAGACTGAGCAAATGCGCCGTGATATGATCTTTCTTTTACTTGAGTCTATGGGATTCAGGGGTTCAAATTATGTTAACATCGTTTGCATGCAGATTGCCCGCTACGAGGGGAGGGGAATACCGAGTCATCGAGGGCAAGAAACAACTTTATGAATACGAACCCTTAGCATCTTGATTCGTTCCCTTTCCTCTCGAGGAAGTGACATGACTAGTCTTTTTAGACGTCGTCGTTTGGCATCTGACTGGGATGCCATGCGGTCATCATCATCATCTCCTAGAAAGGGATTGGTAGTTAAAGTAATTGCAATGCTAGGTCTCATGAATTGATTGGTCAAATCGAGTTAAGACTTACCGAACCCATGTTTCCTCTTCCATGGGCCATTTGCTTGGGTATCCGGCGGCGGCGGTTCTTTCTGAGAAGCATTGTGGATGATTGCTAGTATGAGTGTGTTGTGCAATTCCACTATCCGTAATAAATTCACAGGATCAAAGTTAGCATTCAATCAAAATCAACAACATCAACCCGCTCCCTAGGTCTCATTATTCGAAATTTCCTACACTTACTTTGCTCCTTTGTCAATAAATTGGTCGCCACATCACGAAGCTCTCCTATCGATAACTTTCCGATCAGATACTTCTTCAATTGCCCCCAGTACCTAGTTGCTTTCTCTCCCAGGGACTCCATCAGCTTTACTTTTATTGCTATAGCATCGTACCTTCCATTTTGTTGTCTAGGTATATGCTCGAAAGGACCTATTGGTCGCTGTGGAGTAGTTGTGGGACGAGGCACACTCGGTTTTGTGAGAGGTGCTTTTGTAGGTGGCATCGAACGTGATTGTGCCTTGATCTGTTTATGCGTTTGTGTTTGTGGTGACAGCGTGAGTTTCGTTGGATGCATTGGGTGGGGGCTTTGAGACGGGGATATTAGTAGGGGTGGATGGCGTGTGGGACAATATCTAGTGGTGATTGGCGTGATGATATTTGTATATAGTCGTTTCTAGTGTGGGATGTGAAGGTTAAAGCTGTCTATAGCGATAGTTCTAGTCCAAAGTGTATACCAAGATAATGGAAGACCAAGAATTTTCCATTTATAGTATACATGACATCGACAAGTGTTTCATGATGGAAAGCGTAATTCACGTGAGTTTGGGTAGTTCAATTTCCCCGAAATAGAAAGAGGAAGGAATGCGAATACACTAATTACACTAATACCAATACCAATACTAATACTAATTAATAGTACAGTACATACCTGTGTACGTGATGCATATTAATATTAATATCCGTGCGATAGATTCTTTAATTGAACAGGATGACAATAAATATAGTAAACATTAACTCAAATATAGATTGTTCTGTTTTACTTACATGACACAGGCGTCGCAGTACCCGGGAAAATACCTGGACGGCTAAAAATACGCTATCTGTACACAATTTGATTATTCATAAAGATGTTGAAACTTTGAACATCCTGCAATTCCCTGGAATAGAAACTATTGCAATATTACGCTGCATATAATCTTTACTTCACTCGTCTTTAAAGACATGGTGTGGGAAAATAAAAATGCACGCCCTAGAAAAGAGAGAACGCTTTGGTTGCTCGAGTATGACAGCGTCAAGAACTTGATTACTCAACATTTGAATTCCACCAACTGTTTGACTTTATTGGCTTACTTAAACATGGCATCTATCATCCGAACCGTTTCACATCCTAAACGAATCCTTCCTGCCACAAACAAAAACATCACTATTCCCTTAAGGTCAAAATTCTGTAGTTATTATTAGAAAAGGCATCAGAGTCTATCGTGTGATTATTTGTATATTACAGTTGATCTTGGTAATAATTAACACACTTTCCAAGCGATAAGGATGACATAACTTCCAGATCGACTACTGTGTTGGATTACTAATGAATGAGCCAGCTGGCCAATGCTGCAGATGTTTGGCACCTGGTACATTAAACACAATGTCTTTAATTGACTAGTTGATTAGTCAGACATATAAATGAAGTGCAGGACCAAAATGTATAAAAAGTCGGGAATTTCGCAAGTCGGGATCTCCTTCAGCCATTAATACTTTTATTAAAGCTCCTCGATTGACAGACAATTGTCCTACAATAAACCGCGCACAAATATAGGAAACTCTCATGAGGCTAACTATATTTCTGCAACGCATTTTGTCCGACTTGCATAATCCCAACAAAGTTCAATATTGGACCAAATCGATAGATAAACACAACTTTAATTATAGATCAACAATTATCAAACTGTACATATTGTTTCGTCTTTCTCCTCTCCAATTGGTTCGCTTTCGTCAGGATTAGGATGCAGTCTCCTACAGTTGTTGAAACAAACGAACGCTTCGATATTACTATTCTTTATTGTTTCAACTGCAAGGTAAAGATGTCAAACTGTTAATCGACTATTGATCGAATGGCGTAATTAGAAATAAAGTAATATAAATAGAATTCTATATGGATCGAACAATTTTAATTAATAACGTATTAACTATTTATGGCTAGTTAATATATTTATATTAATAGCACACGTGAGATATACTAATACTGTATGTTAATTATTAAAAGTATAAATCGTCGATCTCATTTAGTAGTCATTTATATATACAGCTATCAATTTATCCATGCAAGCATTGTTCTTTTTTTTTATGATTATTTTGGGTTTAGTCTATACTGCGTCAACACGGTCAAAAGAGAAGCAAAGCTAAGGCCGTTTTGTTGGCAGCGCTTCGACAAAGGCAAAAGATATTCTTTGCGAAGATCAAGGTTGTGTATATTGTATATATCTAATAAAATGGGTTTTCCAGGTAAGGTCGTCATGAGGCTGGTTGGAAACAACTGTTAACAGAACATGTTAAATGGATTACATTCAGAGTTATTAATTAATATCAACATACGCTACATATTTCATTGCAAATTTTCTACCATCAAACGCGTCTCTTTCTCTAAATTCTCTATCCACTCCAAAAAGCTATAGACCAACCACACGACTCTCTCCTTCCGCCACAACTTCCCCAACAGCACCAATACCAATACCAACACCAACACCAACGCCAATTTCAACACCAACACCAATGTCAACAGTCTGATTTATCGTTGCAACTTTTATCTCAACAGTCACCGCCGTTTCAAAGTCTAGAACCCCCTTCCCCATTATTCGATCGTGTTTCAGACTCCAATTTTGATGCAGATACTGGCTACGTAATGCGTTCTGCTCGCCAGGTAACTACTACCTTACGACAGAACAATTACTATTATCACCCGTACGCTGCTGCAAAGCCGGCGTCTATGCTGGCTACATCTACGTATAAGATCTATCGCCATAACAAATGTAATAAAGTTGAAGGTGAGTAATGAGGCATACGAAAAAGGAAATACAAGAAAGAACATGGAAGTACAATTTAGTTATAATAGTATTGAATTAATCACATTTTTTTATTTGATGCTTTAGATTGTACCAATAATTTAAATCAACAAGCGATCGAGGCTTCTGTCAAAACACAACAAAGTTGTTTCGATGGTGTCTACACGGATAAATGCCTTTACGCGCCCAGTAGCATTTCTCGCATCTACCAGCCTCACTGGCTAATGAGCTCGGATCAACTACAGGCAACGTCAGTTGTTCCTACACCATCGATAACTGTACCTATCGTACCATCGACTCCGTTATCTTCTACGCCCGATAAATTATTGCCACAACTTAATGTGTCATCATCGTGTTCACCCAACGGAATTAAACTGCTCATACATGATGATTTAATGACAACTACTAGGGGCTGGACCCCGGGTGAACGCAAATGTGGTAGACGATTAGTACAGTTTCGACGACAACAAGAAGACAAGGAAATACATGTTTGGTTTAGAACAATCGATCCGAACGAAAGAATGCCTAATGCTATCATTGTTTCGTGCATTTACTGGGCCATAAACAAAAAATGGTATATTACGTCTGTCGACTATGTGCATTTGTTAGAGTCAATAATTGCGCTAAAGCTTACCATCGAGGAAAAGAACAGAATTCGCCGAAATTTGGAAGTGTACAAACCTTTGACGGCGAGTAAGCATAATGAGTCTAGCGAGGACTTGTATAAAATGATTATGGAATTTCCTAATCCAAGACCTAGAAATATTGAGAAAGATATCAAGGTATATTCATGGGACTGCCTAGCGGCTGCTTTGCATAAGATTGTGAATAAATATGCAAAATGGTGATATTATTTTCATAGGATTGGATTGGTGTGTATCAGGAAAGTATGCTGAACATATGATTATTACTATTTGTTTGTTGGATTTATGCTAGCAAATAAGGCAAGTAAAAATAAATGCATCCTACGAACCATCAAGCAAGAGAAAGCAACAACTTAGTTTATTGATTAAATAATAAAAAAAAAGTAGTTATTGTGCTCCATATTCTTGAGGGCAAATTTGTCTAATAATAAAGTATTACACAGTTCGCTTCTCAGAAGCCGTAATTTCTATAATATCAAGCTTATCTACAGCACATTATGTAGAATTGGCAGACCTTTATTTTAGAATTAATGCTTCAAGTATTGCACAAAATTTAACAGACAAAATGTTATCCTCCGCTTAACTTATATTCATAACAATATGGTAAAGATAATTATTTAGAGTCTCTCACTCACGCTGTAGTTTTTTCACTCATATTAATATACCTGTAAGATGTGTCAAATTATACTTATATTAAGGGTGCTTAAGATGTGTGTATCTTGTACCAAAATGCTACATTAATGCGGTCAGAATTAGCTTTCCTTCTGGCTTACTAATCGATACAGATAAAGTTCAATTTTTCTAATAAGTTGGTTTTCCTATGAATATAGAAAGTCAACCAGCCAGGTGTTGCCCGTTACTGTTCGCTGCATATAACGGGTCCGTATTATTTCATCGACAATCATTTCACCGACAGTACATTTCACCGACAATTAACTACCAAAAAAGGATACCTTCGAAATAGTGTTGGTGAAGATTTGTCGGTGAAATGATTGTCGATGAAATGATTGCCTCCCCATATAACTTATTATTATACTGACATGCACAAATAAGTAACGGAAGTAATAAATTACTGCTATTATGCCACCGTCTTATTTTGAGATTCAACTTTCGGACTTACTGCTGGCTTGACGCATGATTCGGTGTTTATCTGCTACAAATGCAATAAACTTTTTGTGATAAAGAAGCGGAACATAATAATAAATGCTGTATGTTAATTTATGAAATCACATGATGCACATTAATCACACTTCAAACTCGTGACTTAAAGTCGCACAGACTCGTTGCGATATTACATATTTTACAGTGTGTTATCTTAATCGAGAAGAAAATTATCTCATTCAGAAGGCTTATTTCAATTCTCTTAGTGTTCTAATGTTCAAGACTCTATTGCATGCCAGAGTTTTCGTCAATTAAGTTTACGCCAACTCTTTTCTTCGTATCTGCTCGTAATTTAGCGTTTTGTCGAAGGATTTGTTAACCTGTTAGTAGTCCAGTTTTCGTGCAACTAGACTTTGGCCAATAACACATTGAGGCGTTGTGGCTTTAAGTAAAGCTGCCAGTTAATTTGGGCACAACACGTTCAATCCTTTCCGTTCAACCCGTCGACTGCATATTTTTTCAAGCATTTGACAGCTATCATGTCATCAAACCCTCCTCGCAGGCGATCACAACGCACGCTTACGTCCTTCCTCACCTCTTCAAAACCCTCTAGCAAACGCGAAAGAAAACGCCAACGAATTAACAAAGAAAGTGATGACTTTGTCGAGGTGATGAGAGAGATAGATATTGATGATGATGATGGTGATATGGAAGGGGATGAAGAAGATCGCGTAAGGAGATCCATTGACTTTGAAAATTGGGAGAGAGACGAAGAACAAGAGAAATATTCGGAAAAGAGTATTGAGAAGAATAAGGGACGTGAAAATGTGTATAGCTCTGCTGAATCTAAGAAATTGGGTTGAGTATATATTTGTTGCGTACATTTCGTTATTGGCGAACTCGTTACGAAAAATACTTTATTAACAATGATCATGTTCCTTCTTGCGGATCACATCATCTTTCAACGCAGCTTTTCACAATGAAGACCTATCACCGGAACAAAAACTCCTTCATGCGTTCGACCTAAACTACGCTTATGGCCCGTGTGTAGGCATAACTAGACTTGAACGGTGGGAACGCGCAAGAAAGTTAGGGCTTAATCCGCCGATTGAAGTGAAGACATTACTTGAAACTTTTGGGACTCAGAAGAATACCGAAATTAGCGAGTCGTTATTTTGTGGACGGGTTATTTAGATTTTGACGGAATGGAAGTAAAACGGGAAGGTGTCGTGTGTGTAAAAAAAACGTAAACAAATAAAATTATTTAGCTAGTTCTTATCACAATCCAGTTCTCTTTGTAAAGCAAACTTGCAGATTAATGCGAAGGAGTACATATATATAGGAATCAATTGGTACAGTGGTATGTATACATTGGTGAACGTTGAAAAAAGCAATTGATAAGTCTTGCAGTAAGTGATTGTCTTATTCGGATTACCTTATTTATTCTTACAGATCACGTTCATTAAACTTGAGGTGGAGGTCTATGTTTACGAGCAAGTAGGTATTAATGGCTTCTATGGGTATCTCAGAATCTGAAGTTCTAAAACTAACCCAATCCGCAAGAAATAAATGTTGACGAAATTATTGGGCGTTTCGTTCGACTGATCCTAGCTTGAAGAAGACAGTTTCTCATACATACGGTAAGGAGTTTCTAAGAGAGTGCCTTCACAATTTACGCAGTGATATTGGGTATAGCATTCCGAATATCGCTGACGTGTACACTAAAACTTCAAGCCAGCTAATCTTCTCATATGAGTCGTTGCCTACTATCATCATAAACGTTAGTGTTTTTAGTGGGTACCATATTTACGTACCCCATATGTTCCCGATTCGCAATGATGACGAATATTCGCATTCGATTCTCGAAGGAGCATGTTGTCGACACATGCGCATTGACAAACCAAAAGTTTTTGTTTCAACAAGTACTTCAAGAAAGCATCAATAAACGTAAAGTGATGGAGTCACATAACCAAATTGCTCACTATCCAAACATTATTGGCTCAGACCCCATAAACAATTCCATTCCACCGACGTCGCCCTCCGACACTAGTCATGATATGAACCGGTGATTCGGAAGAGACCCGCCAGGCAGCCACGGATGTTTAGTTAGGGGCTCCGAAGGTTTTCATCATTGATCCCTTGTTACAGGATGTCAACCCTTTTACCAGTTCTTCATTGCCAATATTGAATAAATGAAAGAAAACATATAAAGACAATAATCCTCTATGGCACCCTCTGCTGAAGATGAAGTCATTGAATAGATAATAACAGACTCTCATAATTGGCTAACGTTCGTCATTTCCATTGTCCGCTAGCTGCAGACAAATAGATCCGAGAGGGTTTGCCGCAAAATTTTAGCGGATGACGGGTTCAGCTTATTTATGGACAACGATGATTATGATTGGATATTTTGGTAACACGAACTCTCAATTTCCAGCGACTTGTTGAAATCATTTAACGTTCAATATTGGTTAGGACAAGTAATATCTTTGAATTTATCTCTAACAAATGGGCGAATATTATGGTAAAGATACTCTCGCCTTTTGTAATCCAAAGGAGGAGGGGTTAGTACTAGGATTAAAAAAGGATTTTATTTCAGAAATACTTGCTTTCCTGCTTTTCAATAAACTAAATTCAGTAAAACTCCAGGTTGAGCTGATTCAAATGGAAAATGCTATGTTTGAGAAAAATTCCAACACAGAATTAAAGTCTAAGTATTGAAAGTTTTTTCCATTGTCATAGCCCTAAGCATAAACTGTAAATAAACCGCGAATTCAAAAAAGAGTTTGAGTATCTAAATTATAAGAAATGCACGGTGTTAATATCGTAAATCGACTTCATTATAACCAATTGTTGTCTTCATAACTGTTTGTCGGTTTAGGCAAATTTCCTGTTATTTCTGTATCGGGAAGAAAGGTTCGATAAACGGAAATTTTACGGGATCAGTTGTTGTGTAAGAGCTATATTTTGCCTTTTACTTGATCTGATTTTCGTGAGTATAGCTTTCTTAATGTGCCATAAACAAAGTTGAATATGACTCTCTCTCCAGACAGCTTTAGCAGCATTAATTTCAGCAAAGTCCTTGTCAGTAAAATAAATTCCGGATATAACCCAAGGTTTTGAATGTGATTAAAAAATTCAGTTAAAATTGACGTTTTTGTCAATTCAATGCCTTGATGTGTATCTAAGATAAGATGGCTAAGAGCAAACCCAGAACCTTGAAACTGACCAACTATTGCGTAAAGTTCAAAACGTCCCTTCGCAGTTTTATATATGGCATCAAGGTGCGTGTGCTATCATTGGTGTTGAGAAGGCGATGGCAGTCAGGGCATCTGTCTTAGTTGACACCAGAAGGCGGCATTCCTTTACTCGATATTCCTCTAGCGGAAGAATTGCTGACTGGATTGGATCTTTATGTCTCTGATACTTAAATTGCTCCACCAATAATAGATTTGCTTCGCAGTCACGTCTTTTATATCAAAGCGAGCATTTAAATGGGTATGTAGCTGTAAGGATCTAGGTGACAATTTTTTCGTATTTCACTGACAACTTCACTTGACACTCCAATGGATATATCCGGCCGTTCATGATATGATGTACAGTCCACCGTCCATATATGCACGCCAAGTCTTATTCCCAAGCTGAGAGTTAGTAAATATGCTCTTGATTACGACATTGGTTTATAGTTGACGAATGCAAAGAAACAAACAAATTTTTTTGTATGAATAAATAAAATATATAACACGTGCAACCAATAAAATGCTGACACTCCATATAGCTCATTCCCAAGGGGTGGGTTACAAAAGTTTTTGCAAATTTAATATTTATCACTACGGCACAACCATTACTCTGAGTAATATGCAAGATACCTCGTTTTAAAGTTAAAAAGTTGTAGTTTTTATTGGTATTGATTAAAATGAGATTCGTTCACCATTTTTTTTCAATAATTGCTTCACATCTCTTTCGCATTGACTTCACTAAATTTCTTAAGACATCATCAGAACCATTCCTCAACCATAAAGCGCTCTAATTCACCACGGTTTTGGGCATTCTTTTTTCCACCTTATCCTTAACAATAGCCCAGAGGTTTTCAATGGGTTTGA